AACATGCTCCCCACCGGAAGGAAGATTGCAGTGTTCGTTGATGGCGGGCCGATGGGGGCCTACAAATCCGGATGCATGAGATAGCGGGCGATTGGCTGCGTAAAGTCGGATCTGATAAGTCAAACTCTCGGCAACTGCCAATGTTTCTAACGGGAAACGTCGTCTGGCTTGCTTATCACCAAATGAAGCCACCTTTGGCTGGGCTCTCCGGGTTCACGAGGTGGCTTGCAGCGTCTTCCACATATTGGACGTCATCATCCCGTCAAAATCGGCGGGACCGCTCACCGGCGGCACCTGCTTGAAAAATTTCCAACGTTCTCGTGGGAAGCGTCGTTGGAATCCAACGTTGGTGTTTCCATCTTCATTCTGAGCTGCTTATGGGAAAGAAGCCACCAGGATGCCATCCGAGATGAGGAAGGCCTGACCGACGTCCCGCCTGATACTTGCCCATGCCCGTCAGAACCCTTTGGCCCTTTCCTGTCACTTCAATCCTCTTCTGAGAATCGCCTTGTTCTTCCGTTTTGATCTTTCCTAATTCCTTCTGGTTCCCTTTGTCACCTGATTGACATCGATGGCCACTTCTCGACATCCCGACGTCGTGGCCGTGGTCGTCAAACGTCCCTTGACGTCCTGCATCGTCGTCCTCGTTTGTCATCTGTCTTCTCTTCATCAATCTCCTTATCAATCCAAGCTCGAGGATCTGTGGCGTGAGTCACTTCACCCGCGATCGCAAATTTGTCTAAGCTGTATTTCAATATCGACTTTCGCCGCCCGCCTTCTCCTGCCGATACTACCACAACGTCGTTGTCGAACAACATCCAACGCCCTCTTTTGCTTCCAACATGTCTCAGAGTAACAGGCAACTGGCCAGTTCCCTCCTATCTTTTCAGACTGCGCTTGATGCACTGCGCCAATTGCATCGCCTCATTGACAACGCCCCCGCGGAAGAACTTGTTTACTTCACCTGTATGCTGGCCCTTGACGTATGCGACTACGACTGGGAACTGCAGTCAGAATCTTCAGACTCGAGCGACGACTTCGATGCACGTGTGGCGGATCCTGCCGACATTCCTGTAGATCCACCGAACAATGAGGACTATACCGATGCCGACGGGGACTTGGAGATGACAGACGCCCCTACACAGGAATTTGGGACTCTGCTGGATCTGGACGATCTGTCAGAGACCTTCAGCCCGGTAGACGAATTAGATCGTCACGACCAACGATCTGACGCATCTACGCTCAGGGTCCTTGAGACCACAGAGAATTTCACGAGCATCCAAATCCATCAGATCGCTGATGCAGAAACGCTGGACGTTCAAGAAGCAAAGCATACGAACAGTCAAAGCAGTCAGGGCAACGTTGTGCAAGCGTTCATGACTTCAGGAGAGGACTCATCAGATGCGGCTCATGTGGAGCATGTTGAGTTCGCCAAGGACGAAGATGTTGGAATGGTTGAGCATGTCGAGTACGCAAACTCGGGACAGACTGACAGCGACGAAGGTGGCGGCGGATACGACGGCAGTGATAACGACACCGATTCACAGCCAAAAGACCCCATGGAGGAACTCCGACAAGAGCTGAAGGATCAACGTGATGATCTTGACTGTTATTACAAACTGACACGCCGCCAGCCACCTTTGGATCACGAGGTTACGGCACCATACTTGTACTGGTGGTACCTCCACGTCTGTAACAAGCTTCGGCACCGTGAAGAGCTAAAGGGGAAGGCCAGAATGGCCCTCATGCTAGAATCCGAGCGGGGTAAAGAAGCATCCAGCAGATGGAGGGAGGCCAGCGGTAGATCACGATACCAACTGCTGAGCACTTTCAGCCCTCAACTTGATCACAAACGGGCAGCTCGCTTAAATGGCACAGGGCTCTTTCATGCTGCGAGGGCAAAGTTGATCTCACAGGGACGGAACGTTGACTGCGTGGAACAAGTACGAAAGAAAGGGCTGTTTCGTGGAGTATCAGTCGTAAATCGACCGGTGGAAAGCTCCTGGCCTGGCTCCTTGCAACAATTCTCGCAGAGGCACTCCTTGAGAAAATCATTGACGATGGAGGAGTATGAGAAAATGGAAAACCCAGAAGACGTTTTTCCGGAGCCTAAACAGATCCAATGGTGATAGGCAAGACGAAGGCAGCGTTGGATCATAATGCTTTGGAATAGCGAATAAATAATGCGCTTCAGTAAATTAATAGATCCATAAATTGAATATAGCAAGGCGCTTTCTGACATTCACTGTTCTCTGTTATCTCTGTCCACATCATCTTTGCTATGAGCATCACCAGAACCGCATGAGGTACGTCAACCGTATCAGGTGTGTCAGCATGGCGCAGTGAACTCTCAAGTGATGTCGGGAATGTCAAGAGCAAAGGGAATTCTCTGCAGCTATTTACGGTATACCAATCATTCTTTCTCGGGATCCTGTTTGCGAAGACGAACCCCTGGATCCTGGGTCTGCTTGTGGAGAGCAGTTTCAGTATCATTTCCAGCAGGCTTTCCAGAAAACACTAGAAGTACGGGTTAGTGTTCGGAACTCGAAAAGGGCGGTTTATTCAGCCGCATAGATGAACTCACAGGCTTCCATCTCCTCGAGAGACTTGCCCTTGGTCTCTTTAATAAAGAACCAGACAAAGACGACCAGAGCCCAGTTGAAAATGCAGAACATGAGGAAGGTCTTCCAACCGAGGTTCTGGACGGCATGTGGCGTGGCTTGCGAGAAGACGAAGTTGAACAGCCATTGCGTGGATGTTCCGATGGCGATGCCTGCTTCTCGGATGCGGGATGGGAAGATCTCGCCCATGTAAACCTGAAGTTGGTCGGTTAGTGCTTCGTCTTCTCGGGGTTGAGAGTGTTGAGACTTACCCAAGGCGCTGGGCCCCAAGAAATGTTGTAAGACATGGCTTCCAGGTAGATCATCGTCATAGATGCGATGGCAGTAGAAGTTAGACCCTGATCCACGGACTTTGGTGGGTTGGTCGCTGTGAGACACGCGATGATGAGCATGTATGCTCCCATGAGGAAAGCACCGGCCAGGAGTGAGCCTCGCCGACCCATACGCTCGACGAGGAAGAGCAGGTAGAAGAGACATGAAACTACTTTGACGACGCCGAAGAAGCCAGTAATCAGGAGGTTGTCTTGGCCGGCGCCGACAGCGGCAAAGACCTGGGGTGCATCTGTATAATCAGTTAGTATCAAAGCAAGGATGGATCGAGAGGTTCTAGCTATGAACAGAAGGAACGAGGCTTGCTCACAGTAGGCCAAGGAGGTATTGCCGGTGAGTTGGACACCTGTTAGGGTTAGCTTCGAAGTCCAAGCACAGCGCGAACCAGCGGTTTACATACCAATCTGAAGAGAAGTAATCAGGAGAATACGGTAACGGTTGGTGGGCTGAGCCAATTCCCTCCATGTCAGACCCTCCTTCTGGCTTTCCTCCTCCTCGATCGTAGCGATGATCTCAGCGAACTCTTGCTGAACCTCAGGCGTATTCTCGCCACCACGAACCCACACAAGGGATTGCAGGGCTTCTTCCCTCCTGCCAGTCTTGGCCAGCCATCTCGCGCTCTCTTTGCAGAGCAACATGCCCAGGCCCAAAATCGCACCAGGAACAAGTTGGAGTCCAACGGGGATTTGCCATTGTTTGGTCGAGGGTTTGAGATGCTTGCTCACCCCGTAGTCGATCCAATAACTCGTCATAACGCCCATTGTGAAGAAGAACTGGAACATGCTACCGAGCATGCCTCGAATGTTCTTGGGTGCCATCTCGGCCGAGTACATGGGGATGACAACGGTGGCCATGCCGACGCCGACGCCGCTGATGACTCGAGCTACGTAGAAAGCCGCCAGGGAGTGGGTGTTGATCGTTTGGACCACGGCGCCGACGCAGAAGATTGTCGAGGCGAGGATGATGGACCATCTTCGGCCGTACTTTGCGGTGAAGGGCCAGATGAAGAAGCAGGAGAAGAAGGCTGGCAGGAACGGCTGTTAGAACATTGTGTTACGCGACGCTCTTGCTGAGAGTAACTCACCACCTGCCTGCAACAAGCTCGTGGAGTTAGAGCCGACATTGGCTTTCTGTGATGGGCCGTATCGAAAGTCGGTTTGGAAGCCTTCGAAGGTGAGGATCCCGCCGATGATACCGGTGTCGTATGCGAAGAGGAAGGAGCCCACGCAGCAAAGTGCTACGAGGTAGACGGCTCGGAACGTTCCCAGTGCCTTCGACATATCGAAACAGATAGAATACAAGCCTTGATGATGGATCTTCACCCAAGTATGCCGACGCACCGGCTGCTGTTCATATTAAGGGATTTCATGCTTGAAATATTGATCCAAGTCAGATATCCTGACTACTCTGCTCAGCATAGTCCAGCACGCCATACCGAGACGCCCAATGGCTGGACACCACAGGATTCACGAGAACCGCAACATTCGGGCGATTGTTGAAGTCCTTCAAGCACGCAATGGGACCCTTGACGCCAAAACCAGGGCCTGCCATGCTCACCAACCAACTTGCCCCATTGTTGCCCAGGCTTGTCTGCCGGATGTCGGTCGGAAGACCCAATATGGGCTGGTGCAAGGTTCGGAGTTGCTCCACATTCCAGTTTGGGCGACCGGACCGACTACCGAGACTCTCGGCCAGCTGCGGGGGACATCTCCGGCGAAAGCTAGGGGAGCCGCCCCTTCGCAGCCATTGACCTCTCAAATGTCTGTTCCGGTGATGTTCATGCCGGATATCGCGCGGACTTCTGTTTTGAGGACTTTGTTGGTCCACGTTAGTTACCGCAACGAGGGGCACTGATGGAACCGTGATGCGCAGCTGTGGAGGGGCATCGCTGCAGCATGGAGCTATCTTGAGCTCTTATCGAAGCACTATCTGCCCAAGCTGTCGTATATGAGTTCGACGCGTTCGTTGAGAGATTTACGTGTTTTTCTCGGACTCTTTCTGTCTGGTAACTCTCTGTTTCGACCTCATTTCCGTTAACTGTATTTCAAGATGACGACTCAGAGGCCCAACATCATCTTCATCATGGCTGATGACCATGCTTCCAAGGCCATTAGTGCCTATGGAGCTGGCATCAACCACACGCCCAACATTGACCGTCTGGCAAGCGAGGGGATGAAGTTCAACCACTGCTACGTGACCAATTCCATCTGCACACCGTCACGAGCAGCTATCCTGACTGGTACTCACAACCACGTCAACGGCGTGATGACCCTGAACGACAGCATAAACAAGAATTTACCCAATGTTGCAAAGCACCTACGAACAGGCGGTTACAACACGGCGATGGTGGGAAAATGGCACTTGGGCGAGGGCAAGCAAAACGAACCCACTGGCTTCGACTACTGGTCCGTCCTCCCTGGGCAAGGTGACTACTGGGACCCAGAGTTCATCGAGCCGTCCGGCGAAAAGATCGAGGAGGGCTACGTCACAGATATCATCACAGACAAGTGCCTCGACTTCATCAACAAGACCAAAGACACCGACAAGCCCTTCTTCGTCATGTGCCACCACAAAGCCCCCCACCGCTCGTGGGAGTGCGACGACAAGCACAAGAACCTCTACACCGATCCGATCCGCGTCCCCGAGACCTACGACGACGACTACAAGAACCGCGCCAAGGCGGCGAAGATCGCCAAGATGCGCGTCGCAGAGGATCTGACGTACCAAGACCTGGGGCTCGTGCAGCCGGACGGCGGAAACAGGGTCGGCGAGCGCGTGGTGCAGGAGTCGGGCTCTGCGCAGCGCAAGATCCCGACCGATGCCAAGAGGCTGATTGACAAGGAAGATGGGACGGTGTTCACATTCAAGAACGGCGACGACCTTGCGCACTTCAAGTTCCAGCGATACATGCAACGCTACCTTCGCGTTATCCAGTCTGTGGACGACAATGTCGGCCGAATGCTGAACTACCTTGAAGACAACGGGCTGGCTGATAACACCATTGTGATCTATACGTCGGATCAAGGGTTCTTCTTGGGTGAGCACGGGTGGTTTGACAAGCGGTTTATGTACGAGGAGTCGTTCCAGATGCCGTTCCTCATCCGCTATCCCGCAGCAATTGCCAAGGGCGCGGTGTGTGACGACATCATCTGCAATGTCGACTTTGCGCCGACTTTCCTCGACTTCGCGAATCTGCCAGTGCCAAGTTACATGCAGGGCGTCTCATTCCGGGAGCTGCTCAGCGGCAGGACGCCCGCAGACTGGCAGCAGATTGCATACCACCGGTACTGGATGCACAACGACATCATCCATCACGCATATGCGCACTATGGTGTTCGAGACCAACGATACAAGCTCATCTACTGGTACAACGAGGCCCTAGACGTGGCGGGCGCCAGGCCAGGCGGCGAAAAGGACAAGGAGTGGGAGTTGTTTGACTGCGAGAAAGACCCCTTGGAGCTGTTCAACGTGTATCACGATCCTGCATATGCTGAAGTCGTGAAGCACATGACGGGACTGCTGGAATTGAAGATGGTGCAGATCGGGGATGAACCCGTTCATCCAAGGCCTGGTGCGACGAGTGGGTCGGTTGAGCTCGCGAGTAAGTTATGAGACAACCTCGCAGGTCGCATCTGATGTTTCCATGGGCAGTCTGAATGAATCATGAAATGTTTATTTTGATTATTAGCTGGGTGAATGTTCGTCCTTGTTTTGATGGTTGATGTCAGGCTCAATCCGACGCCGAAATGCTGCTGAAGAAACACACACGATGGTGGATTGCAGACCGACGCAATTCCCCAGAAATTGAATTCGACATGGTGATAATTGACCGGGGCACAGCTCCCGTAAACATGCTGCTATTGGCTCAAGAAGCTCCGTCTTGGATGTCGTTACCCAACCCACTCCTCACGTCATGTAGACCTTACTTGAGTAGGCAAAGCGCGAATTCTCCGCATGCCCAGAGAAGAAGAAAGGCCCCGCCATTGTTCAGGGATTCTTCGGCACCGGGAGACGGGGACGTCATGTGGGAAGGCGCAAGAAGAACCCTTACCAGCTGGAATCAATCATCTGCTGCGTTGAGCAGACGTTCTTCAGACTTGCGTCTCTAACTTTCAATGACCACCGCGCGGGCCCGATAGCTTGGTTGAGTCGCGACAGGCATAACAACATGAGACGAGAGCTAAGACGATGAACCGGGATGCCACTGTTTCAACAACAAGATGATGGACTCGTTCGTTGGGTGCTTCCAGGCCGGACCAGCCACCGCACGTCAAACATGCTCACAATGCAGATGGCGAAAGGTAAGCGATACCGACAGCATGGACCTCGGCCCATCTCCCGTCCCTATCCAGAGTCCTTTGGCCTAACTCGGTTCAGGTCCGATGCGATGCTGGCTCTGAGCAGTGTTGCGGGAACTGCTCGCGCCTAGGGCTGAGTTGCTCTTTTTCAACAGTAGAGGAGGACGCCAACATAACAGTGTTGGCTGCACACCAGCTTACTTCGACTAAGCCCCGGCGACTGCGAGGAACCCGAGCATGCCGGAGCTGTCGGGACAAGAAGGTTCGCTGTTCCGGAACATCTCCGTCGTGCACAAATTGCAAACGACACGGGCGAGAATGTACATACCCCAGCCCTGCCCGCAGCGTCCGGGCGCCATCTCCGCAGAGCACGTCCACCGAGGGGGAGGACTTTCTTCACGGTGCCGAGATCGCCCAGCACATACCCACTTGCGTAGAGTCCTTCTTCGAGAAGGTTTACCCACTTCCATCCCATGCGTTTCTTCATCCGGAAACGACAATGGAGAGGTGCCGGGCTGGCAAGATCGACCCGGCCTTGGCGTATGCCATATGCGCTCTGGCAACGCTACACTCGGCTTCGGACCTTCAAACCCGAGAGAGAGCCACTCCGTGGGTTCAAACGGCTGAACAGTGGATATGGCACCACCTCGAGTGTCCCACAATAGCACGTCTCCAGGCTCTTTTGCTCATCATTCATTATCAGATGGAGACTGGACGGTTCCAAAGGGCTTTCATGCTCACCGCCACTGCAGCGAGGTTTGCTGCCGCCATGCGATTAAATCATGAACGGCCTGATCTAGACCTTGTTGCTCAAGAGGTGCGGCGACGTATCATGTGGTCCCTCAAGATCACTGAAAGATACTTTTCGGTTGGCCTCCCGGAGTTTGAGGCTTGCCCGATTGAAACAATTTACTTACAGTTCCCATCAGCCGAGGAGGAGTTCTGTCCAACGTTTGAGCCAGGAGATGGCAGCTGCTACAGGCTATATGTCAGGCTTGAGATTATCCGGAGAGACATCATGAAGTTGACGAGGGGCGTTGCACTCTGCGACCAGCCTTTCATGCCCCTGGCAAAACTAATTGGGGACTTTGAGAGAGACTTGGCTGAAATCGGATCTCAGATGCCCGATGGCATAGAGTTCCCTCTGTCTCAAATTGAGGCACATTTCAATGACCGATGGCTCAGAAGACGACTCTTCATGCACGTCTCCTTCCATCAAGCGCACTGCGATCTTTACCGAATCCTGCTGTCTGGCTACCCTGAAGCAGCGCCTCGGGTGGTCCTCGATGCCATTGATGAAGGCTACATAACGGCTGCATACCGCGATTGCCTCAAGCACTCTACGTCTATCATTCAAATTTTGACCAACTTGAATCAACACAGCCCCAGCCATCTGCTTCTGGAGTTCGATACCGCAATATGTGCATATCATGCTACAAGGCTTGTGCTGTTCATATCTCGCTCTGGAAGATCTCAGGATTTACCATCGCCTGAATTTGCTCAGAGTCGCGCAGCTCTATGCTTGGCTGCGCTGAAGCGGTTCTTCCCAACATCTGCTTTAGTCAAACCAATCATCAACGACATGGAGCGTTTGACGCAAGGACATGCGCCGCAGGAAACAGGGATCGGTGGGCTTTCCTCGCCAGAGTTCCAAGAAGGGAGAAGGAACTTGGAGCAACAGCTCTCCACAGCCGCTAAAGCCAGACAGAGGCTCGCCATACACAGTTTGTTGAGACAAGCCGACTTTACCGACGAGGATGACGGGGAACAGTCGTCTTCGATGTCAACAACCGGACTATCCCCCGTCATGACAAGACGGACGCCGTGAGACCTCGTCTAAAACAAGCCTCTGTCAGCTCAAAGTTTAATTGATATATGAAGACTCAAGCTTTCTTCAGTTCGGAAAGTGGGCTGAGGAATCGGGTAGCTCCTGGGTAGCATCGTGAAACTATTAGATTAGTGGAGTAGGCCGTGTTTTAATCGTGAGGCCAGAACTCTGGTTGGCCTGGAAAGTTGTATCAAGCTTTCTGATTCGTAAATACGAGGGATGAATCCGATAGGCAATACGTGCATGGATTTACACGAGAATAAAACTTATCAGTTATGGCTCAACAGGAAGCTGCGGCCCGTTTGGATGGCGTGGCCCGTTGTCGCAAATAGAGAGACTTGACACGCGCGTGCGCGCGTATTAGGGCGCAGAATGGCCTTTCCAGCTTATCAACAGTCGCCTATTCCCAAGAGCGCAGTTCATGATCTCGAAATAAACTTTCGCATCCCCCGCAGGACACTTATTTATTCCGTACTTCGCCTTGTAAGGCCCCTCCTGTCTGCGACTACTCTGCGTTTCAGCGCGCCTCACGGCGTGCCCGCCCTGTTGGTACCCTAGACGACTCAACTGTCAGATGCCGTCTCAACATCCCTGCCAACTGACTCGAAGGCGCAACTATCATGGTGATACTGCCGGTGGGAGGACTTGTAAGTGAGCAAGCTGAAGAGGATAAATATCTCTTGATTCTCTGGGAAGAATCACGCAATCATCTCAAATCAAGTTGCAATCATTCAGTCTTCTCTCCAACATCTTAACTAATACACTTACAAACGACTTGCCGGTCAAAGTCTATTATTAAATCATTCAAAATGAAGTTCTACTCTGTCCTCCTCTTCGTCGCCTCCGTCGCTGCTGTCGCTCTCGACACCGACGTTCCTCCCGAGCTTCACCAGCCCGGCCGCCGCGGCGTTGACTGCGGAGCTTGCGCTCGCCTCAACTTCTGCCCCGGCAAGCCCAACAACAACGTTGAGTGCGAGCTCGACGGCTGCTGCAAGAAGTAAATCACTTCAGCTGATTATCGAGTCACAAAGCTACCGGTAAGCATTCAAAACTTTGATAAGATGGCTAGCTGGACCTTCTCACTAACTCGCCCTAGAGACATGCAACCTGATACCCTAGACCAATGGAAGCTACTGTGGTCGAGAACAACTTGGGAGTGAGAGGCCCAGAATGGTTCTGAATCTACGTCGACTTAGGAACATGATATTGCAATAAGATACCAAATTTCTCGCCCAAATGACGTTCACGTGTGTCTTTGCTTCGTGACACAAATTAGTCTCCAGCCAGTGCTAGTGTCTGTCACAACAAAACTGGGCCGGCGACTGAGCAATCTGGGAAGCACCAATAAGTATTAAGATATGTATTGTGATGAACAATGGAACTAAGCCTCATATTGTGAGTTCCGTAAAGACGCATGGTTGATGAAACAAAAGCGGCATTGCGTTATCAGTGAGTTAGATCAGAGTTGCGTTCAGACTTTGCAGATCCTCAGTCCTGGAGCTGCTCCCCACCCAGAAGTTGTAAAGTCCTGTCTCAACCACCCACTCTCCATCGACAAAATAGCCAAGCTCGTTGTACGGAACTGTCAGTGTAACTTCTTTCGACTCGCCTGCTGTAATTGCAACCTTATGGAAGCGAATGAGTTTCATGACCGGAAACTCAATCTGGGTGTATTCCGGGCGGTAGTAGAGCTGAACAATCTCCTGACCAGAAACACTTCCAGTATTGCTCACGGTAACTGTGACAGTTACCTGGTTGTTCTGGCCACATGAGGTGGAAGCGCTGCTACTACCGGCAGATTGGCATGCAAGAGAAGGCGACGAGATGTTGAAAATCGTATAGCTCAGTCCGAAGCCGAATCTAATGGGAGCATAGCGTGTCAATTCCGGGAGATGCCAGTCGTATTGTGTCGCAGTACCGAAGCCGCCCTCATCATCCGACGGGAAGTAATCATAGGCAACAGGAAACGCGCCCTCTGCTTCGGGAAATGTGATCGTCAGCTTCCCACTGGGGTTGACATCCCCGAAGAGAATCTCGATCAAAGAGTCAGCCGTGTACTCTCCGGCGAGCCAGGTGTGAAGGATCGCCTTTGATCTCTTAGTTGACTCGTTTAACAGGAACGTCTGTCCACCGCTGAGTACCAATACTGTTGGTACGCCTGCATCAAGGACGGCATCTAAGAGATCTTGCTGCAAGCCCGGGAATCCGAGATCAGGATGACTGAAACCTTCACCGTCGGTTCGATGCAACGACTCGTACGTGGTATCAAACGATCCCCAGCCAGATCCGAGAACAACCACGGCGAGCCCGATCTCTTTCGCAGCGGCGACGGCGGTTTCAATGCCAGAGCTATCGTTCGTGCTAAGAATATCGACACCAGCCACGTACTTGACATTATCGGCCCCAAGCTTCCGCTCAAGGCTTGTTCGAAAAGTGTCACCATAGGATGGATCTGATGCATTGTTGGCGGCGTACTGGCCGGTGTTGAGGATGTCCGCATAGGGTCCGAGAAGTGCGACACCGGGAACGTTACCTCTTTTCAAGGGCAAGGTTCCGTCGTTTTGGAGCAGAACGATAGCTTCTCTGGAGATGTTCCGGTTAATTTCGAGGTGCTCCTCGTTCCGAAGAGTTGCGTTCATGTTTTCGACGGAGGGTAGAGGAAGATCGAAAGTTCCAGTTGCGAACTTGATCTGCAGGATTGCGTGCACTGCCTCGTCGATGAGTCCCGCGATCTCCGTGTTGTTGATTGAGTCGATGAGTGTTGGGAAGGCGGACGGTGGTCGCGGGGATAGCTCATGATCCAACCCACCGCGAAGGGCTTTCAAGGCAGCATCCGCATACGACTTGGCCACCTTGGATTGGGTGTACATGTTTCTAATCGAGCCAGCGTCGGACATGATCAGCCCCTTGAAGCCTAGCAAGTCTCTCAGAATGTCCTTGTTGAGATACTTGTTCCTGGACATGGGTATCTGATCCACGCTTGCATATGAAACCATCAGAGAAAGGGGGCTGGCATCTCTGATAGCCTTGACGTATGGGGCGCCGATGTCGTTCAGAATGTGGTTCAGTCCACCCTGCATGCTAGCTGTGTTGACTCCACCGCTGCTAGAACCATAGACCCAGTGCTTGATCGTGGTAGCTACCTTGACAAAGCCGTTTTCATCTTTCTCTTGCATGATGTTGATGTAATGAGAAGCAAACTCGCCAACGAGGTATGTATCTTCTCCAAACCTTGAGCCATAGTTGGTTAGTTGAATGAAGTCTATCATTAGCATGGCCTTGGATCTTACATCTCGCCATTCCGACCGTTCCTCGGATCTTTGGCCAAGTCAACCTCGGGCGAAAGTACCCAGTGAGTCCCCACCGCCATGTTCTCATCACGAATCGCAGCGATAGCTTGCTCGTAAAGCGGAATGTTCCATGTTGCACCCATGGAGATGGCCCCTGGGAAAATGGTGGCGCCTGAAATCATCAAGCCATTGACGGAATCGGCGATTGTGATGTATGGAATGCCCAGACGTGTGTTGTTGATTTGCTCGGCCCGTACCTTGTTAGCGATGGGCAACAGCTCATGGGCATAGTTGGTAGGGGCACCGAAACCTGCAATCGTCTTAGCTCTCAAACAAATCATTGCATCTATATCAAACCTACCAATTTGCCCATTCTGTGTCTTCCGAATTTCCTCGAAAGAGGTCTCATTGTAAGACAGTGCGCCATTAACCCTCTCGGCGAGCCGACGGATGCCACCCAACTGGCCGACCTTCTCCTCCCATGTCATCAACTTCAGGAGGTCTTTAGCTCGCTCTTCTGGTGCCCGTGATACATCTTTATATACCGACCCGTTGAACTGGAGTGCCACAGATGCCAGCGCTGTGAGCTGGCACAAAGAAATGACGAGAAGAGAGGCCAACAGTTTCGCCATCTTGATCGTGAGGTCCGCCTGATGATCAATGTGGATTGAAACATTATTTCATCCCGTACTTTGGCCTGCTGTTTATATCGCGAAAGACCAAATGACCGAAGCACGTCATTTGACAAGTCCCACGTTGAACCATCAAGCCGGTGACAAGAGCGCCTGGCTTCATGCGTTCGGCAAGGAAGCCCGGAGCGGGTGACCCACTTAGGCACCCGGGCCTCCGGGCTTCAGAGCCGGATGTCGGTCGGAAGTCCCGAACAGGAAGGGTGTAGAGGAAAACATCCAGGCACCCCCGCTTATTACCACGGCGCTAAAATTGCGTCATCATAGCTGGCGGTGTGTCGGCTTTCACACCTCGGTGGCGGCTTTTAGATTGCCAGCTGACCTTATGCGGAGCTTGATGCTGCTCAACATAACGCCTGTTACTAAGCTACAGCATCGCTGCTCGAGATGCCTCAAATTCCACTGGTTTACTGTTGGCATTTTTAGGATTATTGTTCTACCAGTATTTTCTGCAAACGACAGATGCGGCTCTATCTCGCGGCATCCATGTGGTTCAAGGCCGCAGCGACGCCCAGGCACCGTAACGAGCATGAAGCAGAGAAATCACAATCAACACGCTCACTGGCGAGAAAACCTCGCATCATATCCTAGTCCGACCCCTGGAGCCGACTCGAAGAGGGTTTGTTCAGTAGATGACGACAGCCAAATGTGCAAAACCCCCGAGGAGAGAAGAAGCCGTCTTGCGGTTCGGAATCAGGGGGCATAATACAATTTCATATTCAAGTTTCTGATTAGGACTTCTCACTGCAGCCAATGGCTGTAGGAAGTTATACCAACAGAGAAATATTCCGTAACGGTAAGAGATGGGCCGAAGCTGGTGAGGTCCTCCCTGCTCGTCTTTGGCGGAATAATGTTGCTTGGTGAACTATATGAAGCCGAGATATTAACCAGTCGTCTAGATCAACAACTGACTCAAATGATCGCAGCCAAGCTTCGCTTCCCTGTACGTATCCGCTCATCTGCTATTCGTGGGCACTGCAGGACATGACAATACAAACATCCAAGAAACGCAAGAATGCGGTAATTGGTGTTTAAAACCCCCGATCTCCCAGCTATTGGTTCATATCGACCGACCAATAGTGTATAGCTGAGTCGTTGACATCAGCCGAAGCAGAAAACGACGGCTACTGCGCAGGTTACATATGTGAGGTTGCTACCGAACTCGGGTATCTCGTTTGACGGAACGGCGTGCCAACATGCTGGCGATCATTGTCTTGCAACCATCTTCCTACTCGGTGCCATTTCCGTGTGGTCATTCGGTAAGCTGGCGATTCATCCCATTCGTGCGAAATCCAAGTGGTGACGATCTCAGTCTCGCTTGGGCAAGGCGGGGAGACCGGATGGGCCGATCGACGCATGGAAGCCTCGGTGTTCATGACAGCAAGTCTGGAACTTGGTGTCAAGTCAACACTCGGGATGCGCGGTAAGATTAGATCAGGATCGGTCGGCAGCATTTTGCAGCTTTGGCGTTGGGAATTGGTGACTCTAGAGCCTGCCATTCACCAGTCTTAATTGTGTACCATCTTGAGAGGCGGCCGGTCTTGTGCGAGTGAGGGAGCCTACCTTACATGGAGAGTTACCGCGTTGAAATCACTACCGGACTGCTGTCACTTTCTCCCTTCAAAGTCTTGAAGACGCCCGGTCTTTGTCTCTCCTTTTCCCTCAAATAGAAGAGACTCCCGCCTCTTGTGGAGTTTCGGTCTTTTCTCTGGTTTGAATACGAGCTGCTGGGAGTTTCAGGTACTAATCTCCTGCGTTGTATCCGTAGCCATGAAAACGCTGCCAAGGCTGGATCGATATAAAGCTCTTGGCGTAATTGTTTTGGTTGGGCCGACGGGAGATCACAAAGGCCGCATCAGGCGGGCGAAGCAGAGAGGCGCAGAAGAGGAGTCGAGCTGGTGAAAGATGAGAGGTGAGAAACAGATGTGAGAGGGGCAGGTGCGCAGAAAACTTGCGGGTGATTGGCAAGAGACTTTGCCAATGCAGAATGCCAATATTCGCAGTCTTGGCGGCCAATCCCCCTTTTCATAGTGCTACACGCCAAGACCACACTTCGCGCTCACTCACTTTGTTTCTCACTCCATCGGTTGCAATCTCACTCTCTGGTTTTTGAAAAATCGAATTGACAACGTCCAAGCTTTCGATGTCAGGGAAGACGGTCGTAGAGATGTTGTTGCATGTTCTTAAGACTATTGGCTTGTATTTAGCTGAGAAGGGTTGGCAGCTGTATTGCGTCTCACTGTGTTAAGCAACAGGGGCCTGCCCCCTCCTCTGGACCACAGCACGCAACACCCATGTCCTCCCCCATCCGATCAGCAACACATCTGCTCAGATAGGCGACGGCTCCCGCTGTACCTGCACGGCGACACTCTCATTCAAGTTCTTCCTCCAACAGCCAGCGCATGTTCATTTGGATGAGTGCTTGGCATTCATCTATCTCTGAGATGCCGCGCGCGCTACCGCACTTTCAAACGCTTGAAACATGCACGCTTGGCAACTCTAGCGCAGCGTCACATCATCGCGTGCTGGGCAGCGGTACTGCCCATTTTGGGGGCTGGCTGGTTCGTGGTTTCGACGATGAGTGGGTAGTCGCTAGTCATCCGATGAGCCTATTCCCAGCCCCTGTAACCTTCTTCACTTCGTCTGTTCTTTCCAGCATCCCACTTGACAACGTCCCAGTACACCTATCCCACGGAGTGAAAGGTTAGTGCGGTTCTTGCGGGGCTTGGCTATATGGATGGCCCCGCAAGTAGTACGCTAACCTTTCACTCCGTGGGATAGGTGTACCACAGCTACATTCGTGACATACCGAATCGCAAACGAGCTCCGAACTCCACACAGCAGGATGACTACTGCCGGACCCCTTCCCGTTCTATTTGTCTCCTACACTCTTTAGGAAGTCAAGCCATGCCCAGCCCACTGGTTCTGGCAAACATGCCAGCCGTAAGGGACCAGAAAGTGAACCTCCTTACTCGCGCCGTTCATTTCAATGTGACGGTCTTGTGTGAGGCCAATCAGATCTGATGGCGAGCGGTCACGGCCAGCTCTCTGTCCACGGCCTTTTCGTCCCGAGATTCCCAACATCCTGGCGTTCCTCTGAGGTTACCCTAGTCTTTGCTGACGGGGAAATAATCAAGGGAGTCGATGGAGCTGCGGAGTGCATGCGATAGGTTGAGGTGGTTCTGGAAATCAACGTGGGTTGACCTCGTTTGCCGCTTTCAGGAATCACGAAATACCCCATCTAAACTAGAAGCCAAGATTCCGGATCTTCGATCTTTATATATAAGACCTCAGTTATCGTCCCAAGTTTCTGCCCATAGCCTTTCTTGCTCCTCATTCGCGCCTTCTTCAGTCTTTCATTCTACCTTCAGTTCATCCCATTATTCTGACCAACGTGCAGTGCTAGTCACTCGGTTCATACTATCTTGACATCCTTTCTTATTTCAAACTAAACCCAACAACCCCGTACGAACATCAAGATGAAGTTCTCCGCTCTTACCCTCATGGCTGCCCTGGCTGCGGCTTCGCCCACCAACATCCTCAGTGCTCGCAACGAGCTTGCTCGCCGCCAGGCCGCCGAGGCTTGCAACATCGGCTACTGCACGGAGAACGGAGGTACCACTGGTGGTGCCGGTGGTGACACCGTCACTGTCAAGTCCGCCGACGAGCTCGTCGCTGCTGCCAAGAAGGAGGGCCCCCTGACCATCATCGTCTCCGGTGCCATCTCCGGCAGCGCTAAGGTCCGTGTCTCCGCTGACAAGACCATCATTGGAGAGAAGGGCAGCTGTAAGTGGCATACTGTATTCAATCAAGTAGATTGGTTGAGATTAACTGACTGTTTGCAGCCCTGACTGGTGTCGGCCTGTACATCCGCCAGGTCAAGAACGTCATCGTCCGCAACATGAAGATCGGCGGTGTCAAGGCCACTAACGGTGATGCCATCGGCATTGACGAGTCTACCAACGTCTGGGTTGACCACTGCGACCTTTCCGGTGATCTCTCTGGGGGCAAGGACGACCTCGACGGTCTCCTCGACGTCTCCCACGGTGCGGACTGGATCACCGTCTCCAACGTCTACTTCCACGACCACGTACGTTTACCATGATACACACTCTAGTATCAATCGAAGACTAACAAAAGCTCAGTGGAAGGGATCTCTGGTCGGCCACTCGGACTCCAACAGCGGCGAGGACACCGGCAAGCTCCACGTCACCTACGCCAACAACCACTGGTTCAACGTCAACTCCCGCGCTCCCCTCGTCCGCTTCGGTACCGTCCACGTCGTCAACAACTACTACGACAGCTTGATCCTCACCGGCGTTAACACGCGCATGGGTGCCCAGGTCCTCGTCCAGAGCTCCGCCTTCAACAAGTGCCCCGCCAAGGCCATCTTCTTCGCCGACTCCAAGCAGACCGGTTACGCTGTCGCTGAGGATGTTGACCTCGGCGGCTCTGAGAACTCTGCCCCTAAGGGCACCCTCACCTCCTCCTCGCTGCCCTACAAGATCGCGGCGCTCGGCTCCAGCAAGGTTGCCGGCACCATCCCCGGCACCGCTGGCCAGAAGCTGTAAGCGACTCTGTGAGACGTAGATTGAACGTGGCGGGATGAACGCATCTTTCTTTGTACATACTTGACTCAGTATATATGAGTGGCGGCGATGGCCTGTTGATATACACTCCTAATGTGTACATATGGGGTCGAAATGTTTTGCCAGAGCTGGATATTTGGAGGCATTGTATATAAATCTGCCGTCTACTACGTAGACTGAACAAGATTTGCTCCCTAAAATTTGGCTCTCTTGCATCAAGATTGGTGCTTCTCTAACGTTGCAGTGCTTCGAGGGGTGGTTTGGAAATGTGTTTGAGTTGATTCCTACCCCAGCATTGACACCCATTGATCTTCTAGTCTATTGAACTGAGCCACTCTAAATGTACATGGCTGAACGTAGCGTCTAATCTCTCTTCTTAATGCGAGGGAAACACAGCCACACGATAGCGACCACAGCAATGAGAGCCAGGATGATGGGCTGCAGCACAGCGACGCCCTTGCTAGTCGCAATCGCGCCAATGATGAAGGGGAAGACGGTGCCGCCAGTGCCACCAATCGCCATTGCAAAACCGATAGCACTCACATGGATATGCTTAGGAAGTAGCTTGGCAGTCATCATCACAGCACCAGGAAACATGGGTCCTAGAAAGAAGCCCAAGAAGGCCACAGAAATAGCCGAGACCACGAACTGAGGAATGAGCCAGAATAGCAACTGGAGTGCAATGCAGAAGGCCAAGTAGATGGTGATGCACAGTCTTTCGCCATAACGCTCAGTCACGAAGCCTAGACCCGCTCGACCGAGGGCTTGTCCGGCCCAGAAGCCTGTGGCGGAGATACCTGAAGCATAGGCAGACGCTTTGCGGACTCGCAACATGAAAGTGACGATCCAGCCACCGAGGCCAACTGGGGGTGGGATTAGCTATGAACGCAAAGTGAAGCCAAGTGTTTCGGCGACATACCTTCAACACCCATGTATGCGAAGAAGAAGAGGGAGCAGAGCCAAGTGACTTTGGACTTGAGTGCAGCTCTGGTGCCAGCACCACCCTCCTGATCCTCGTGCGCGTGCTCAGCGCGGTAGACAGCGCCCGTCTTTTGCCAAAAGGTGATGGTCAGACCGACCAGCTCGATTACCGACATGCCGACCTAAGAAGTGGTTAACACGGGCTTTTACTTGGCTGGTGTCGTGTTCCTTACCATGAAGTAATAGTAGTTGTACCACGGTAGCTCAGCCTTGACCACCATGGAAGTCGCGATAAGAGGTGAGATCAGGGCCCCTACGGAATAGAACGAATGCAGGAAGCCCTGGATGGTATTCGCCTTGTCCATCGCACCAATCCAAGCACAGAAACATGCGTCCGTCAACCCGTTACCAAAACCACTGATTGTGTTGGCAATGACAAGAACAGGATAGGGAGGATGGAGAGCGAGGATGATGTAGGTGATGATGTGGCAAATGGGCGCCATGACGGCGACGCCTCGCTGGCCAAGCTTCTGGTGAATGCGAGCATTGGTGAAGGCCGCGACGGAATAACCGGCGAATGGGGTCAGAAAGATAAGAGATACGATAGTGTAACTGAGGTCATAATAGGTTTCGAGCTGTTCATCAGTGAGCATTGTCGATCCTGTGTCTTGAACATGGGAGCATGACATACGTATGGGATTAAAGCCTGTAAACTGTCAGTTGAGGTCAGGTTGCGGTCAAAAGGCAAGATGACTTACACCAACTGCCGCGTCGTTCATTCCGGCAATGATGAAAGAAACGAAGCAGAAAGCAAGTCGGCCCATGTTGCCCTTCGGCGAGTTCCATCGTTCAATCTCTCCATGTGCATTGGGTGGCGGGGTGACATCACCACCCTTCGAGTCGATAGACTGGTGCTCTTCGGGGCCGTCTTTCTTCGGCGAAACGTCTCCAACAGAACGTCCACCGCTCGAGCCAAGACGGCCGAGCTCGTACGCCTCAGAGCCGAACGCCGTGTGACGTGTGTCAACGCGGGTCTCTGTAGCTGTTTGTGACATGGCGATCGGAGACGCGACTGCGCGCTGTCGTTGCAAAATCCGAATGTCTGAAGCGACTAGTTGAATGTCAAGAAGATGAAGAAGTCATCGTGTATTAAAATACGGTCAGCGGAATTGACCTGGCCCGCCCTCGCTTTCGCATCCGATGGTTGAGAACGGCGGGGCGGGGAAGCCGGTGACGGTGCCCCGATGATTACCCGGGCGATCGGAGACTCAACCGGAAGAGCTAGCGGAGTGTCGCTCGGAGTTTTCGATGACTAAAGCGTTCTGGAGGCGGCTTTGGAAGAATATGGTTGGCTGTTCCTCCTGACTCGGCCCAGTAAAGTGGTTCAGGTCATGCGGGCCGAGTCAACAGAGGAAGTTCTCCGCGAGTTTTCCGCGACTGAACGAGACATCGAACGCGACCTTTCTTGTCTGACTGAGATTCTAAGATCCTTTTGGCAGAGTTGATGGTTGAAACACGAGATGAGGTCTGGCAAAGTCTGCAAAAGGATCGAGCTTCTGAGCTCAGTCACAGGTCATGTAATTCCTCATCTGCTTATTCACCGATGGTTAAACAATGGTCCCTGATATGTTCATATGAGGAGCAAATTACGTACAAGTTGTCAAAGTGGCGCGACTTGTCGCATCCATGATGCGATGCGAAGCCTGGGCATAGGACTGCTTGAGAGATTCGGCGCTCGCTTGTATACCGGGCGCCGACAGGACCGATATGCCCCATATTTTCGGCGCAGATATCGGTCCCGTCTTGGGTCTTTCATCCGGAGGCACTCCCGATAATTCTAGGGTTTCGAGTCCATGTGGCAGATTGAATGCTCGCTCCAAGACGTCTCTTCGGCCAGGGCATTTAGCGTGGGTAATAACTCATAGTGCATGAGTCACTAGAAGCAACACGAAGAACCCAGCTTTTCAGCCTACAAAGAATAGCTTTCATCTTGAGTACGCATCAACTTGATAATATAGTTGCCAGGAAAAGTTGCGCTCCAAAGATGAACCTTTCGTTGTGACCGTAAATTGAGACAATCCGATTTACTCAGGCACCCGTAAGCATGGAAAACCGTCATGTCTCCACATACAACACAGATTGAAATGAATCTGGTAGTCTCATTCCCTCAATACACCGAATGGGTAAATCGGGCTACCGGTCCCAGGTTGTTCCATTCCACACTTTTATCCAAGGTGCGAATCAGGCGATGCGCCGGAATGCGCGGGAGCCTCCCTTTCGTGGCACGACAAGACCCGGAGTGTGGGAGCCCGACACGAACCGGAAATATCCACAAAATCTCCTACTCCGGCAAACTGGCCCAGTCATGCTCCAGCGGACTTTGAGGTCATTGAAATAAGCGCCAATCACAACGCTAAATGAAAACCATCAGCGGGGAATTGCGCGTAGTTAGGTAATCGCGTTGTATCGGGAGCCACCATTGAAGAATCATTAGCGGCGGCTCCTTTATTCGCTGTGGGATGATGCGGATTGTCGCAAGGTGCCGTCTTAAAGCGAAGCTGACACCCGACTCCCGTGGGCGGCATTTGTTACCCCGCCTGCACGTCGATAGCTGTTGCATTTCCACGAGAACGCCGCACGATTGCAGATCACAGATCCCCGGTACTGATCCACATCGCCATGGCCACACCTGGTGCCGACTCGGCGACAAGGGCGGGAGAGCCGCCCGAGTTCATTGAAGTGGGCGACACGGCCACGCCCGAAGAGGCGTCTGAGCCTGAAGACTGGGATGCGCGCTCATCAACGTCGACCTCGTTAGCATCCGGCATCCAGAGGCATGCGTTCGCCAACGGTCGGAGGTGAGATTGATACCATTGAGTGCTTGATCTTGGCCCCTCGGGACTGACAGGGCTATCAAGGTATCATGCTTACCGCGATGGGAGATATCCCATTCCCAACGACGAGACAGAACAAAATCGCGAGGATATGAAGCATGCTATGGTACTGGAGTTGAGCGACGGGAAGCTTTTCCATGCCCCGATCGGTGATCACCCCCAAAAGATTATCGACCTTGGAACGGGCACTGGTACGGTCACCCTGCAAATCCCAACGCGGCGAGTTGTATGCTAATAACGGTTCACAGGTATCTGGGCAATGGAAGGTATGTCAACGACAGCGTTGAGATCCCATGTAGATTGACTGGAGCTAAGATGATTGATTCAGTTGGAGACCAGTACCCTGGTGCTGAGGTGACCGGCGCCGACTTATCACCCATTCAACCTGATTGGTAAATCATGCGCAAATTTGTCCTGTCTTTCTTGCCATGTTCTAACGTTGTCAAGGATTCCGCCAAATGTGCGCTTCATAGTAGATGATGTCGAAGACGAGTGGTTGGTATGTCTACAATGCACGTCACTATCGGTGTGAAGGATTGTTGCTGATAGAGAGCCGTCCATTTCAGTTTGACAAGGACTTTGACTTCATCCATATGCGCAACCTGGCGACTTGGGTTCACAATCTCCCCAAGCTCTTGGAACGCTGTTTCGCGTAAGACTCTTCTGCTCTTTCTTCCATCAAGTTTGCTATGCGCTCTGCTAACTCAGGACTTGTAGTAACCTTAAGCCCGGCGCTTGGGTTGAAACCCAAGACTTCAACTCCAACGTCAACTGTGACGACGGGACCATGCCTGACGACTGGGCCCTTATTAAATTTTGGGCTCTCCTTCACGAGGCCATGCTCAAGCTAAACGTTGACATTCGGGTTGCCCCACGAATCGGCGAACTGATGGAACAGGCCGGATTCGTCAACGTGAGAAAGACAGCCTACAAAGTGCCGGTTGGCACTTGGCCTAGGAACAACATTCTCAACCTTGTGGGCGAGTACATGCGCACGATTATGGAGGATCTGCTTGGCGCAGCTGCGAGCAAGCCCCTCAAGACGTTAGGCATGACAGACACGGAGATCCAAGTCTTCCTCGTGTCTGTACGAAGTGCGCTGAGGGATCGCAACGTGCACGCTTATGGCACATATTACTCATGGGTTGGGCAGAAGCCGCTTGATGCGTAGTCATGGTGGTGGACAAGAACTGTTAGCTTCATCCTCAATTTGAATGTACGATCGATTGTTTTCTGTCAAGCTCTTCAGCGAAAGTTTGGGTATCGCATAAACGGCAGCTCTTTATGGTATTGGATCCTGTATAGCAACCTTCGGTTAAGCCATTTACGAAACACCGGAGAAGAAACGCACCTGTGGTAGAACTTTGAGTAACATGTAAACAAGAAAAAAGCAGAACTTGTCTCGGAACCAAGAAGAATCTGGAATGCAGCTGGAAAGACATCTTGTGATCACTTTCAGCTGATGAGAAGACAGAAGAGAGCCTGAGATGGTTAGCCACGACGTGCCCCCTTTGTTTCTGAGAACTTCGCCAGTGCCCCTTCAACTTCTAACAGGTCAGATTCCCGCGATAAGCAGACGGGACTCGGGAGCAGAGGATCGGCCAAGACGAAAATTGTCAAAGCACACACCGCCAGCAGCGGTCTGGTAAGCGCCAACAATGTTGTTGCCTAAGACTTGCTGCACATCCGGGCTTGCTAACATTGTAGGTGCTGTGACTTGGATCGGTACTGGCCTTTATCATGTGGATCGTCCAATAGAACCGATCGTCCTGAACCATGCACACATGTGCGAAGACACGAATGATGGCGTTCTCATGTCGCTCCGCAATTTTCCATGGCCATTCCAGGTTGTGTTCGGAAGGCACATCTCATTTGGCATGGGGACGCGAGTGGCACAGAAGGATGCAAGTTACCGATTGTGCTTCCCTATTGTCTCGAAAACTCAGAATCGTCCAACAATTCACTCGCGCGTCAACCCTAGTTCGCCCAGCCATGCAGGTGCCCTTCTGTGAAACCAGCTGAAATTCTGTACCACGTTGGAGAAAGAGGGGATGATCAATTGTCTGGGAATGATGGTTTCTTGACCTGGGCCAAGACGATATCGGTATGTTTGTCGAAATGCCGAGAGAAAACGATCCATAACGGGCTTTTCTCCTCCATCTGATTTACTCGAGCTTTACTGGGTCGGGAAGGCCCCGGTATCTCGGTAGTCGCAAGTAAGACATTCCCAAGTCCAATCGGTGTGAGACATACCATGTGGACTTGGCACATCTGCAATAATAACGCCAGATGCCCGTTGCTTTGGGCCAGCGAATCCTGCAGGCAAATGTTACTCAACTTTGAATGCCAACTGCACTCGACCGCTGTCCTCTGGTTTCCATGAAAAAGGGGGCCCTGTCCGAGCTGCCATCTCGTCAACTTTGAAAGGCACAGTGTTACGTTTGTCGGAACATTACAGTCTACACACCGTTACTTCTCGTATTACACGCTGGCATATTCTTATTTGATCCCTCTCCCCCGCTGCCGGTGTTTGCCTGAGCTATTCAAGAGGCCTTTTTCACAGTGCCAACCCTTGTCAAGGTGGATTCACGTATCCATCGAGTTTCTCAATTTGACATCTATCAGCATGTCGAATCTTCACAGCGACAGTCATGATCCAGGGAAGGTTTTTCCTCGGGATATTGAGCGCAAGATAAGCGATGCCGAAGTCAGCAACACGACCCCGGACGCCTCGTTGAGAGAGAAGCACAGCGCCGCCCATATTCAAGGCATCCACTCAATCGATGATGACGACAAAGCAAAGCTGCGATCTACTATTGTGCGCAAGTTCGATGTCCGCCTGGTGCCAGCAATGTTTCTGGCCCACCTTCTGTTCTTCCTGGACAAGGGAAATATTGCTCTCGCCCGTATCAATGGCCTCGAAGAGGATCTCAAACTCGAAGGCAACCAATTCAACTCATCGTTGGCGATGTTCTTCATCCTCAACATTCTGTTCAATATCCCTGGAAACCTCGCTGTGCGTCGTGTTGGTGGCGCGGTCTGGCTACCATCCCTGATTGTCGCATGGGGACTGGTCACAATCTCTTCAGGCTTCATACGCAACTTTGTCGGACTATGCGTCACTCGCGTCTTCCTTGGTCTGACTGAGAGTTCTTTCCTTGGGGGTGTTCTGATATATCTTGGCTTCTTCTATACGGCTGACGAACTTATCCTGCGCGTCGGACTATTCTACTCCAGCACTGCCCTAGCAGGATTTCTTGGAGGTCTTTTAGCTGGCGGACTTGGTGAGATCAGAGTCGCAGACTACAATGGATGGCCTTGGATCTTCTTCGTCGAAGGATGTCTAACTGTCATTCTTGGAACTGCCTTGTTCTTCTTCCTTCCACATACACCGGCCGAGGCAAAGTTCTTGTCTCCCGTAGAGAGAAAGCTCGCTGTCCATCGCATGCAAGCTCAAGATCGCTGGCACTTCCTGGAACCCCAGCAGTTAGACGGTCGTGAATCTCATGAGAATGATTCAGCTATGGAAGCGACCATCTCGAAGGACCCTCTTAACTGGGCAACAGCCAAGAGCGCCATCTTCAACGTCGTCACCCTCACCATTGCTGTCGGCGCCTTTTTCTCTATCGAGGCCATTTACAGTTTCGCCATGTTCTTCCCGACCATCATCGCTGCTATGGGGTACAGAAGTCTCCAAGCGTCCTTGATGACGGCCCCGCCCAATTTGCTCGCCCTCATCTTCACAGTTGGCATCTGCTTTTGGAGTCAAAGGTCCGGGAAAACGGCCCTCCCCCTGAATATATGCAGCATCATCGGGGTTTTTGGGTACATGATGCTCATTATTGGAGCAAAAGTTGGCCCGCCGCCGCTCGGTATGAACGCCAAGGTCCAGTACGCTGGCTCATTCCTCGTTGCGATGGCAGTCAATGGAACACCGCCTCTGGCCCTTACTTGGCTAAGCATCAACGCATCGCCACACTACGTGCGAGCCGTTGCTTTGGGATTTGTGTTATCAATTGGGAACACTGCTGCATTCCTGGCATCATTCACTTACATCAAGACAGAGGCGCCTCAGTAAGTTTCGCATTCTGATTCACACCTTCTGATGCTGACTTGGGACGCAGATACATCAAAGGGCATTCGATCAACTTTGGATGCCTCTTTAGTCTCCTTATTATCGGTGTCACACTTCCGTTGTACATGAATTGGGAGAACATGAAGCGTGAGCGGGGCGAGCGAGATTACAGGCTAGATGAGAGCCGGCAGAATGGCTTGTCCAAGGAGGAATATGAGTTTAGACTTGGATGGATGCATCCGGGTTTCCGTTTCAAGGTTTGAAGCCTTTTTCAAAGCTTTCATTTGCAGCAAGTGAGAGTCGGGGTTGTAAACATGAGGTAAAGTACACATGGGAGGACAGGTGGTCGAGATATTGCTGAGATACCATGGGAAATACAAGAGAACTTTCCACCGAGGACAGTGAGTCTCTCCTTGAAATGCGCGTCTCCATTGATATCACAGCACGCGATTAATACCTATGGTTCATCTGCCCGCCTATCGAGTCAGGAGTTCTCCGAAGCGCCTGGAACTCACCACCGAACATGGCCCGTGAGTCTGTCATGAGATTGCCTTCAGCCCACGACACATCTTCATTACTCATGCATCCAGCTGACGCGGTTACTCAAGAGCCTAGGCCAACGATTGGTGAGGTGACCAAACACTCCAACTTGAACAACAAAAGAAGTTAGGGCCTTGGTAAATTATCATCAAGGTCGTCGACAGACCGAACTGAAAAATACGTACCGAATGCCAGGCTTAAACGCCGATCCGCTCGGTTATCGCCGCTGTGCAGCCGCCGTCACGACGCTAAAACACAAAACACAGGGGCAAACAACAGCAATTTCGATCCGTTGCCGAGGTGGATCCCCCCGTCAATCAACCTCCTTTCACCCTTCACTTCGACTTCGGACGACACCAGTCTTCGGCACTGAGCCGACTTCATCTGTGCGGGCCGTGCTGCGTGTTGCGAGACGGGCTTCATCAGAGCGTGCATACAGACAGACAGACAGACAGACAGACAGGAACGATGACGGGCCACGGTCTCCTTTTCTTCATCCCGGGCAATCCAGGCCTTGTCGACTACTACACCGACTTCTTCGACTCGGTCAAGGCCCGCATCGGATGGGCGGATGGCCACATCCACGTTCACGGCCGCGATCTGTTTGGGTTCCGCGACGACAGCCATGAGCCCTTTAGCAATGAGCACCCGCCGTACGACCTGGAGCACCAGGTCGAGGCTGTTTACAACCATCTGGCGTCGCTGCGGCGAACAGACTCGACGCGGAATGCGCCGGGAAAGAAGGGCGAGCCGTATGACTTCATCATCTTAGCGGGGCACTCTGTGGGAAGCTACATCGCGCTTGAGATTTTTCACAGACACCTGAAGGACCCCTCACGTGCACCGCACCTAAAGCTTCACGCGGGTATCTTGCTGTTCCCGACGGTTACGCACATAGCCCAGTCTCCCGCTGGGAAGAGGCTGGACCTCATCCGCACGACACCAATGCTCAACAACACCGCACATGTCATCGCGCAACGATTTTTGGACCTGTGGCCCGCGGCTGCATTGCGGTGGTTTGTAAGCAACGTCCTGGGGATGGGTACCAAAGCCGCCGAAGTCACGACGGGGTTCCTGAAGAGCCGCGACAGTGTGTGGCAGGCTCTGCATATGGGCAAGGATGAGATGAAGGTCATCACTGAGGAGAAGTGGGACAAGGAACTTTGGGAAATCGAAGAGGACGACCTTGGCAGCGGCAGTGGGAAGAGAACCACGCCTAGGTTCTTCTTTTACTTCGGAAAGAAAGACCACTGGGTCGCAGACCACTTCAGAGATCACTTCATCCGGGCCCGCGAGAAGCACATCGAAAATGGCTGGGCACGAGTAGAGATTGATGAGAAGAGCCTCCCTCATGCCTTTTGCACCACAGAAAAGAACAGCGAGCTGGTTGCTGAAAAGGTTGCACAGTACTTGAAGGAGCTTTGGGATGGGCTTTCACCATCAGAGTCGTCGTAAGGCAGGGGACATTATGATTTTAGAGGGTTACATGATACTAGACAATAGACAATAATTGTATTGCTCCCGTCGCTCTTGTGATATCCTACACACAAAGAAAAAGGTTCTGGTGTCAGAATTTTGCTTGCTCCAAAACTCCGTTCACTTCCCATGCATCAGCTTGCCTCGAGTCTTCCACTCTACATGCATGCTTCCTGTCGTCGCCCCTGAGGACCAGTGTCGTCTTGCTGACATTTAGCTGTGATCTATATTTGCCGAATCTCTGTCACATCCTCCGAGTCCTACGTAGAATTTAGTTAGGCATCGGCCTGCCAATTTGCAGGCTACTAACGCTAGCAGTCTACAACGAATGTCAGTGTTAATTCGACAGCATTTCATCTCAATAACTCACCTCCGCCTCCGCCTTTTGCTTCTTACGCCTCATCAGGCCATAAATGAACACCCCCATCGCCAACAATGACACGCCGGCTGCGGAAGTTGTCAGTTGACGTTCAAGTGAGGACTCATTCATGGAAACTTACCAACACCGCCAAAAACACCCAACAACACAACAGCGGTAGGAGTTCCGCCTGCTCCCTTTGGCATGGAGCTGGCAGAAGCAGAAGATGCGGGTGGAACAGCAGCCGCAGGGGGTGGTAACGGGTTTGCGCCGGTCGGAGGAGGAGTGGAACCAGGAGGAATAGGAGGCGCAAGGCCTAACGAAGAGCTCATGGGGGGCAGAGGAGGAGGCGGTGGGTTCATGACTGGCGGAGGAGGTGGAGGCGGCGGGGTGTTAGCCGGAGGCGGAGGCGGAGGAGGCGCCGCACTCGTAACTGGCGGCGGCGGCGGCAGCGGTGCTGGCTGAGGGTTGATCACAGGAGGCGCCGGCGCCGGTGTTGCAGTGACCGTGACTGTTGTCGGGATCATGATCATCACCGTCTCGGTGATGGTCGCAGCTGATGGGGTCACTGTGACGAAGATCGTGACCGTCGGGACGTTTGCATTATTATTAGGAGGCAGTCCGTTTGCCGGGGGAGCTGTTCCTGGTGTTCCCGGCTGTGGCTGGCCATTGTTGATGATGATACCGCCAGCTTGACCCAACACAGACAGAAGTTGGTTCGGATCGATGGGGAGAGCGTTGGCGTTGGGAGGGCCATTCGCGGCTGCCGCAGCCTTTACCGCGTCCGGGTTGGTCTTCGCATTTTGCTCCTCGCGCTCGACAATTTCCGCCATTTTGATATCCGTTCGACTTTCCTTCACTTCCACTTGTTCTTGTCCTTCCTTCCTTCTTTCAAGACAACCAAGGTCTTGAGTCTGACCAGCGAAGGCGAGGGTCTTCTTCGGTAGACGGGCCGAGAGGCGACTACACACTTACAAGCATATCACAGATTGCTTGCCGCAGAAGACCGATTTGTTGAGCAACCGAGAGAGTGTGGTGCTAGGGTATGAATGAACAGCCGCTCACTGCTGAAAGACGTGGAGGCACCCATGCAGTTTTAATCCAGGCCCTGTCTTGGACGTGCAACTATTTGACTTCTGGCTCGTGTCAAACTTACAGGACCGAGGCGCCACCACTCGGGCCTTCGGTATGGCTCTACGGCATTGGGATTGCCTCATTGGGTAAGTGGGCGGCAGGTTTCTGGGTGAAGATGCTGAGGTTTTGGGTGTCAAATCCAATGTCCCCGAACACTGGAGGAAAAGAAGGTGTAATTGTGGGCTTTTCGGAGAACGTGCGCTCCCCGACCCCCTCATCGTTCTCATCTTCCGCTCTGAGTTCAAGGTTCGGCTGCTCTGATTTGCGTTGAAGGGGCCCTGGAGGGATTGGGGGCCACACCCTCTGATGGGTGTAACCACTGCGACGCCGTGTCGAAGCAGCCTCGGTGTTTCAAGAGCAGGCCAGAATTGGCCCAGAAGATGGGATGCCAAATGGCTTTTTGTGTTTTTCGAAACCAGTTTCTGTAACCTGCAGTCGCCGTGCATCTGAGAGGGTGGGAGCTCGGCCGTGCGTTGAGTCGCAGGCTATCCCCGTCCAACTCTTCAAGGGGTGAGACTTGTTCCCGCTTTCTGCCACCCTCTTCCATCCCAATGGGTTGTAATTCATCAGCTTGTTTTCTGAAAAGGATCAATTGCTCCTTGGATTTCTGTATTCGCGATCCTCCTGACGTCAAAGCCGATTATGGCCAGCAACCGGCTGCGTCACTGCGTGGCGGTGAAAAATAAGGCTTTCCTTCAGTGTGAATGAATGCTGGAGCCCTTATATGCTTCCATGCAACCGAGCGCAATGTTCATTAGTGCCGCTTAGATAGGCTTCTATAGACTCTCTTCGACCGACGACGACCGAAGGAAGGCAAGATCAACAGAGCTATGAACCCCAGCAGACTCCAATCGCAGCAACAAAGGCCCGGCGTGAAGAGGGGTGTTCTGGGAAGTTTGTCTGCAGCTTCAGCGGCAGCCTACAACTTTCTTGCTCACGACTTTGAATTTGTGCCGGACCGATATCATGACGACAAGTTCTTTCCCACACGGCTATCTCGGGCGGGATCTAGTATCCGACTCGGTCGCGCCCGCGGCCGGAACAACTATCCACTGAGACCGCCGCCCATTCGGAAGAGGACATGGCAGAAGGATGCGAACGGGGAGTTGCGCAGCAAATCATTCGAGGACTCCCAGTTCAGCCACCCATACGATGAAGCACGCGGAGGAAACGACCGAAACCCGTTTGACGACGCCAATGAGGTAGAAGAGCAGGACGATGAGGCCGACGACGACGAACCGTACCACGTCTTTCCGAAGCGACAAAAATGGCTGGTCATTGTGATCATCGCTACAGCCGGCCTCTTCAGCGGATTGTCATCCAATATTTACAACCCGTCTCTTGATGCCGTTGCGCAGGTAAGATTCGGCCCGTTCCAGTGCTTATATAGTGAGAGCGAGGGTGATGCTGATGCTGATTATGATTACTTGCAGGACCTCAAAGTCAGCTCCTCACAGGTTTCTCTGACAATCACGTCTTACCTTATCATGCAAGCCGTGTCTCCTCTTCTATGGGGACCCATGTCAGACACATTGGGTCGGAGGCCGACATACATAGCCTCTTTTGCGGTTTACATAGGCGCCAATGTCGCGCTTAGCTTCTCACCGAATTATCCGGTGCTGCTCATTTTCAGGGGTGTCCAGGCCGCAGGGAGTGCGTCAACTGTCAGTATCGGTAAGTTGCCATAGTCTCCGTTTCTCCCTTCGACTACCCAATCTGGCAACTAACGGCAGTTCCAAGGCAATGGAGTCATTCAGGATATCTCGCCGACTTCCGAAAGGGGCGCGTTCATTAGTTTCTACCAGGCCAGTAAGCTAAGTTGTCAACATGCTACAACACCATCAACTGACACGACCGCAGTTCGAAACTTCAGCACAGCGATAGGTCCCGTACTGGGCGGCGCCTTGGCTAATTCTCTCGGCTTCCGCTCAGTGTTTGTCTTCTTGCTCATTGCCTCGACGCTTATTATTATTGCAATAATTGTGTTTCTTCCCGAGACAATGAGAAGCATCGCTGGCAATGGCGCAATAAGACTCAAAGGTCCAGTTTACAAGCCTTTGATCAGGTACATCAGGAAAGAGCCTAGGTACATGCAAGATCCAGACGGTCCTCTGAATTCCAACAAAGTCACCATCTGGACGTTCCTCAGACCCTTCAGACTGTTCAGGGAGAAGGATCTTGTCATCAACCTCGTTTGGGGTGGGTTCGTCTACGCTATCTGGAACATGGTCACCACCAGCACCACACCTGTCTTCAAAGCACGGTTCCCTTTCCTGAACGAGCTCCTCCTGGGTGTGGCATTCTTACCCAACGGTAAGCGGGGTCTCCCACTCCAACCCTTTCCTCAGCTGCAGCGAATCCCAACGATTCTTTCGGCTGAGGGAAGCATGTATCAACTCGACTGACTTATCATGTGTAGGCTTCGGAACCATTGTCGGCTCTGTCTTGGCCGGGAAGCTGTTGACCCGGGATTACAGGGCCATTTCGGCCGAATACAAGGCAACGCATAACATGAGGGAGGACGAAGAGTTGTCCCCAAAAGACATACCGCCAGATTTTCCCCTTGAGAAGGTCCGCTTACAACGGCTTCCGTGGATAGTAGCATTATTCACCGCTTCCATCACCGGCTACGGCTTTTCCTTGGCATACCCTGCGGCGACATCTCGACCCGGTTGGATAGCACTCCCCCTCGTGCTTCAATTTCTCATTGCAGCCTCGGCAAACGCCATATTTGCTCTCAATCAGACAATTATCTCGGATCTTTGTCCCGGTCAGGGTGCAAGCGCAACAGCTATCAATAATCTAGTGCGATGTGGTCTTGCCGCCCTGGGCGTGGCCTTTGCGGAACAGATGATCAACGCTGTAGGGCCGGGGACAGCGTTCCTGGTGTTGGCTTTGGTGGTCATAGCCGTTTCACCCATCCAAGTTCTCAACCAATATAGAGGGCCCAAATGGCGGGCGGACAGGGCAAGGAGAGGCGGCTCAAAGGCCACTGCGGCGGTGGAGGATCGACAAAAGGCTGGAATATAGGCCTGGCATAACGCAAAAACAGTTGGAGCATTTGTTTGCAATCACATTGGGAATCATATTGGACGAAGCGAGCATACTCAGCATCATTAGAATTTACACGATACAGATCATTACATGAAATACCATCATACAGATCATTGGGTGTCGAGCATAAGCCATGATACCCATGGCTAAGATACATACATCTATTGGTAGAACTGGATACTATTTCTGTAGATCTTTCAAATTCTATCTACTCTGAAGTCATTGTAGCGAGATTGGCTCCAGCTCTAATCCATACGAGATATCATAGGACCCTCCTCGAGCTGGAGTAGACTTCCGCCTTGATGCTGGGCGTTGTCATCAACTGCCATCATCACCGAAGTCAACTTCGCACGATCTTCTAAATGATCCTTCATGATCAACGTACCCATATTTCTGGCGAACTAATCGACTGGGATTAACCCTTCACCATCAC